TCGTTTCTGGAAAAAAGAGTTTGGAAACCTTAGGCCTTGTTTTATTTTAAGCTTTAAAATAAAATGCTGATGAAGGACCAGTATCTGTTTTACCTTTGCTATCTCTCCTAAAAGAGGTACGTTTGGCTGAAGGATCACAAAGCAATATGCTGAGCATATTTTCTCAGGAGTTCTTCTCTTATCAAAACATGATCAAGTGACTTCATTGGATTGTCCTTGGCTGGGAAATGAAGGAAAGAGCCAGGGGAATTGCCTTCCTTCATTTTAAAATTGAAGCCATGACCTATGTTGACCTGTTTCCTGGGACTAAGAACACACATCATCTTTCTGAAGAAGAAAAATTGCTTCCTGGACAAGTTTAGCTATCAATCTCCCTGCAGAGACCTCTATTTTTCAAGGCCTTTAATATTTTGTTTCAGGACTTACGATCGCTATAAATCACTATATTCTTAAATGCTTTCTCCCTTTCCCACAAACATATTTTGGATAGGTGATTTGTCATTAATGTCTTTAGGAAGTCCAACCAGCCATCTCTGCTCTCTCCATCCCTGCACAATTTAGAAGGTCATTCGCATTCACTGGAAAACAAAATTCTAATTTCTTTTTAGGTTGCTGAGATAAGCTTTAAAGTTAGTAGAAAAGGAAGACAAGGAAGGGGACTAGGAAAGGCATATGTTGGGCTGATTGTGAGTATCCTCAAGTATGGAAGTGCAGCTCCCATAAAGGCTTAGAAATATTCATTTGGCTAAAGTACTAAACATTTTAGTTAATTAAAAATATTAAAAATATAGTGTAGAAAATATGCTAATAAAACAAGGCAATCCTTTATAATTAAATAACCCTGCATTTATTTGCTTAATGCTGAACTTATTTTCCGTAGGAGACATATTCTTCAGGCTTCAATAAAACTGATATATCCTAACTAGGATTTTTGTAACTCAGGAGTTCAAATTTTCCTATTTCTATACAGTAATTAATGTTAAATTATTCTGGCATTGGTTTTTTTTGCTGGCTCAGGGACATGGGAGAAGCATTTAAGATGCAGTCCTAAAACACCTAAAAGGCAAGGTTTGTGATTTGTGATATAATTCCTTATTTATATGTATTGCCCTCGAACCACCCCATATTAAAGGAAAAGTAAGTAACTTAGTGTTTCCCATAGGTTTTTATCTAAAGTGCCTTGCTAATGGCCATGTTGGCTGATCCACTGGGAATTAACATTCAAAACATTGGATGGCTACCATTCAATACACATACATTTTCTCTGTAATAGAAATATTGTCCTAAAATAATGCTTCGTGATTGGTGCTGAGAATGGCAGATGGGAATACATGATCTGACTTAAACTAACATTTAGTTTGGGTAGACAAAATATTTAAATTTCTTCTGTCCCTCATCCAGAATGGTTTGTTTTCTTTTGTTCTTGGCAGAGATGCCACTCAGCACATGTGATCTGTACTGGAGTAAATGTTTCCTAAGACACTCCTGGCAACTTTTGAATAATTCCCTGTGATTTGTGCGGGCAGTTTATTTAATGGATGTTGCCAGGAACATCCTGTGACATAAAGGGACCTGTAATGGATGACAAAGGAAATGTACAATGTTCCAGATTTTTTGGTGGGGGTGGGGGGTGGGGGGTGGGAGAGCGGAAATAAGACTTTCATGCAGTTGTTATGGGTATTATTTGATAGCGATGTAAGAATGGGTGAATCTCTGCAACTGATACAGGTGTTATAATTTTGTTGTTTTTTGCATTGCCCAGCTTAGGATTTTTGGATATATTGGGACTGCAGCAGTTCCCAGAAGTCTCCAGCCAACTATCTTGGTAGCTATGGAATTTTGAGTGCTGCCAACCACCTAGAAGAACCCGAGTGTTTTGAACCCGGTTTTTCAGCTGATAAGCTTAGTGTCTTTAACCAATGAGCCATTTTACACACACACACACACACACACACCTCTTATGTACTTACTAGCTCTATACCTGTGCTTCACTACGAAACTATGTGATCGGCTTAGTTTTTGAGGAGGAAAATAAGGGGAAAAAATTCTGCCTCTGCCTACCAGCATCCATCCATATTCTTCTGGCTAGCATCCTGTCAATGTGTGAGAGTGTTGAGGGCTGTTTGGAAACTGAAGCATAGAAACTGAAACAGTATTTGCTGTGTGAGCAAGGAGACAGCAAGGAGCCTGGGCGTGGATTAGCTCAACTGTTCTGTACTAAAACTGCTTGGTGCTGTGAAACTAAAACTGAAATTGCTCTCCTCTGCTTGTGTTTTGCATTTGGAACAGATTTCTTTTCAGGTGGGGAGGGGGGAATAGAACTCCTTAGCATCAGAGCATGTTAGTAATAATATAGGAAATACTAATGCTCTCATGGTCATTTCAAAAAATCCTTTCTTAGTGAGCACCTAGAAGCCAAGAGGAACATAGTGCCAAATTTCAAGTTTGTTGGTTTAATGGTTCTGGAGATTTTGTGATGATGCGTGAGTGGTATTTCGTTTTTATATATAGAGATTATAATCATGTTATTGCTAAAACGTGTAAACTTTTGTTGAAATGAGATAGAAGAACAAGTGAAATAATGTATAATAAAATGGACTAAAGACTTTGGCTATAATATACAAATGGATCAAAGGGAAAAGATTTGGGTAAAAGGACTGAAATTTACTTTATGTTCTAGTCTTAAAAACAATTCATGTAAAATTATGTATTGTTTGTGTTTGTCACTAGAGGAAATTTTATAGAATATATAAAGATACTTTGAATTTTTGCTGGAAATGCAAAGAACGTGAAGGGACATTTTACCATGTTTGGTGGACATGTAAAAAAGCTAAACAAATTTTAATACAAATGGATGGATTAATTCAGAGGATTTTAAAAATTAAAGAACATCTGAAACCAGACTTTTCTTTTGTGACTAATGGACAGTCAATTAGAAAAGAAGTCATGAAACTGTTTTTATATATGGATGACTGCAACAAGACAATTCTAGCTCAAAAGTGGAAAGATTTGATATTACTACAATGGAGGATAAAGATGATGGAATTTGCAGAGATGACTAAATTAAAAATTTAAAAAATTTAAAAGTTGATTTTCAACTTTTATTTGCTGTTACATATGATGGAAATCAGTATATGTCAACATGTGCTCCTAAAACAGACTGTGAAAGCCCTATTTGGTATACAACAGCTTTGAGAAGGGATGATCACCTTGGGGCTCCCTTATGGTTCCTGTTTAATTCACATCTATTCAAACACAATGCAATACCAAAATTAAGCTAGTTCATCAAGGAGCTCATAGATTGTACAAAGCCCTAGAATAGTTTTTTTTTTTTTTTTTGGTTTAGATGCATTCTCTTGTGCAGATCCAACCAATTGTAGTTTATTCAACAAACTGTTAAGGGAACCAAATTCTATATTTGTCCTTGCCACCTCTTTTTCTAGTGGGCAGAAGTACTTAACAACTTGCTGAATTGTATATTACTCTCAGACAAAAATTCTCAAAACAGTTTGTAGATAAGAGGAGGTGATTTGTTGTGGCTGTATCTGGGATCATGATTGAAAACTTGCTTGTAAAAATGACAAATTGCCTATAAAGCAGACTTTGGCTTTTGGGCGTACTTTTATCTTGACGTAATACCAAGTACTGCTCAGTTGTAAGGCAACTGGCCAAGAGATTTTCTAAGTCCACCCATATCAAACTGAAGAACAGCCCTGTAAAAAACTGAACAAAAAATAAAATATAGTGAATGTCAAGAATCCTGGTAATTTACATGTAACGTAGGCCTATATCTTGTATTGTTTTGTAATATCTATTTGATTACAGGCAGAGAGGCAAGCCGTAGTGGATTTTTTCTCATTATGTGTATTTTTATTGACTTTGTTCATTGTCTAAAATCACATATGTGATAAGCAGCTGTGTACATTTACCAAATAAAATCAGAAAGTGAACAAACTCCTTATGGAATGTTTTTAAGTATCATTGTACAATTGTTTATATAATGTCAGACACAAAGAAAACAGATCTACATGTGCAGAATTAAAGCTAACTACTTTATTTTATTCTGCTTATTAATACAGGATTTTTCCCAGGCTGCTCTGTCTTCCCCTTGGGAACAGATAGAGAAGGCACCATGCTTGGGGGAGGGGTTTTTAGTGTTGGATCTCTTGCAATTAGGTAAAGATTCAAGGCTAATTACCTACTTGAATCCACCTCCCTGCCAGGCTGAGCATTTCCCAACATCCCTCTCTCTCACCCTTCTCCTATAATTTAAGATTAAAGAGATAAAATGATCAAATCAACATTTCCATATAGTACTGTGTTAAGAGACTATTTTGTTAATGGTATCCTATGGAGGTCCATTCACACAATCCTACCAAGTTCAGCGGGACTTCCTCTACAGCTGGAACAAATCTCATGGGATACAAATGTAATTAACATAATATAGTATAATATAGTATAGTTATAATATATAACATTATGATATAGTACAATATAATATATATCTACTTCTATATATAAAATATAACAATATAATAATATAGGATGAATAGATCTGCAAAAGTTTGCAGAGAAACAGAAAGCGATGTCCATCAAAATCTATGGGGGTGCGGGAAATCCGATCTGCACTGCGACGCCCTTACCTTCTAGATCAGGCTTCAAGCGGCCAAGGTTGGAGACCCCTGATCTAGATGGCCTATAGGGTCCCTTCCAACTCTGTTAATGTGTATCTATCTGTATCTGTATCCTGATTTCGAGGCAGAAAGGCGGGCTGTCTGAACGGAGACGGACGGGTTAAGAGATAAGCCGCCTAGACTAGAGAAGGCAGCCCATCCGATTGGGGAACAGCACGTGTAAACGAAGAAAGGCGGGGGGGGGGAGGCAGTTAAGCGATGATTGACAGCAGAGGCGGAGACCTCCGATTACGTAGCTGGCCGTGAGAAAGAAGCGGCGCCGCGGGTTGTGATTGATCCCACCCCCACAAAAAAGGGGGCGTGGCCTTAACAGCATGGCGGCCTCCGCGGGCGCTGCGGCCCTGGGCCGAAGTTCGCGCGCGGCTCTTTCCTCTTGGACGCTGCGGGTCCCACACGCCGGGCGCGGGCGGCTGTTGAGCCCCGCCGGTCTCGGAAGTCGCCCGCCGGCTTCCCTGGCCGCTTCTAGCCAGCCGAGTGCGGGAGGAGAGGAGCGCTACTGCCTGGATTTGCTGCGGTGAGGCCGGCCAGCGGCAGGTTCCGCCGGGGCGGGAGTGGGGTGTGCGGAGTTGGGCCTGGGCTGGACCGGACTGGGCAGGATAAGCCGGGCAACTCCACCTCCGCGATGTGGTTTGGCACCTATTTGATTTGCATATATTTCGATAATGTGACGTGGAGGCGCGGAAAGCTGCTCCAATCGCCCTTGAGGACGACCTGCAAGCCGAGGCCGTGTCTTAACCTTGATTACAGAGAGTGCATTAACTTCCTAGCTTCCTCTCCCGGGATTTAACTTTTCTGCATTGCATTTATATCCCAGGCGTCCCTCTCCAAAGAGCCCCGGTGTCCCCCTTGCGCGTTTCCACACATCTCTTGGCTACTGCGCCATTCCTAATACAGCATCCGTTGTGCTTGTCCTCTGCAGTGTCATTCCCTGATTTATTTTTTATTTTTTGCATGGCGACCACAGAATAAGCAGTTGCCCCATTTTTCAGGTTTGTTTTTTATTTTTTTTCCAAGACAGTATGGTTGTGGTAGTTGTTCGGTCGCTAAGTTGAGTCCAACTCTTCTCAACTTCATGGGTCATAGCACGCCAGGCTCCCTTAATGTATTCTAAAAGCATGTTGGGTCAAAGCTTTTTGATTATTTAAAACTAAAGAGGGGATGGCCAGAGAGATGGAATGTGTTGCACTGTTTCAAGCTTAATTTGGAACATGCCTATAAATAGAAAGTTCATTCACCAGGAATTAGAACTTCATTTTTCCCAATAAACCTTTTATAGATCCTATTATACTCACTCTCTTTCTGTCATATGTACAGTATGTATGTAACAGTTCTACTGTTAAATTTGTTACTGCTTTTGTTGGTCTTAGAGCTGTAATAAATTGATTTCATTTGACTTCATAAATGCAAGCCTTCATCTGTGATTTGAAATGGTACAACCCATTCTACCTTTTTATTGCAATACATTTCAGCTTTATATCTGCTGGACAGATAAATTGCAACTATTTTTGATGACCAGCAAAAATATGTTGCTTTTTCTCTACAGATAGGGACTTTTATTTAATTGTTTGTGCTTGCCTTTACATAGCGCCACGTTAATCTTGTAATAGCTTTTGAAGACATGATGTGCCTGTAACCTGAATTTTAAAATGAATCCTAGACATTGTGTATTGAGTATATATTTCTACTTTAGAACAGGAATGGGCATGCTGGTACTGTATGCTCCCGAAGATCTGGACTACAATTCCCCTTAAGTCTGCAGATCAGTGCTTTATAGGTCTAAGAATTGTAAACTGGACCATATGGAGACTACAAATTTACATCCTCTTGATTTAGAGCAAGGGTCATCAACAAGTTTAAGACTTGTGGACTTCAACTCCCAGAATTCCTGAGCTAACATGACTGGAGGAGGAATTCTGGGAGTTGAAGTCCACAAGTCTTTTTTTCCCCAAAAAGTTTTTTATTTTTATTTTTTACACATCTCTTCATGTGAGCAAGGTGATTCCAGATTACAATATTTATACATAGTCAGTTACATTTTCAACTTTCTTAATATCACTTCAAATTATTATCCATTCAACTAATCTTTAGATAAATTTCCCTTTCATGTTTCAATTCATTAATTCAATATCAAAATCATTTCACCCTCACATATATTTTCAATTCTTTATCGCCTATTTCCATTTTCAGTTTACCACCTATTTTATGTTACCTTATGTACTGTTATCATCTATAACTTTCTCAAGACCAATATGTAATTAGACAATGAAAGAAAAAAATGAGTAAAAGTAAAGTAAGATTAATACATTTGGGATCCACATGGTGTATCTCCCCATTTACAGTATATCTTATATATATATTCCCGAGATATTCATATAATCATTTCATATTTTTTCTTTGTTTCCAAAAATTACCTTTATAATTTTAATAAATTTTCATTCCCCTGCTTTTGATTATAGTATAATTCATTCATTATAAATATTTTACATTCCCACATAATCCCTTCTAGTTCATTATATTTTCTATTTTCTCATGTCCTTTTCATAATCAGTTATATTTTCTATTTCATGTATACCACAAAGAAAAATAAAAACAGAGTTAATTTCCCCTTTTACTTCCCTATGACCAATTTCAACCTATATCATTTCTATAACCCTCATTCACACTTTTTGAACATAATACCAGATTTTCACCTAGGTCATCATATTCTCTGTTTTCCTACTATCATTTAAATAGTTATTAGCATATTTTAGAATATGAATATATATATATATATGTGGATCTTTGGTTGTTCGGGTTTTCTCCCGCGTAAGATTCGAAGTATCTAGGCAACGTTTCGATGAAGTCTCATTCATCATCTTCAGGCTTCTGTCTCCGGCTCTGTGCTTCTCAGAGTAATGTGAGATTGCAGCTGCTTCCTCCTTTTAACTGCCAGTGGGGGTGGGACTTGATTGGGTGGGGGCTTGGCTGTGTTCTGATTGGGTGGGGGTGT